GCGACGCCGATCGCTGCCACCCACCATCGCCCCAACGGGAAGAACTGCCCAGCAGCGATTCCAAGGAGCCCGAAGTGAACATCCTGGAGCAGCACGGGCTGGCCCAGAGGCTTAAACCCCGGGAGCCCAGGTGCCGAACCCCGCACAGCAGAAAAGACATGACAGCCGGTGCCCAGTTCGTTCTGCAGCCGTCCGGATCAGCGTCCGGGCTCGCAGGCAAAGGGTGGGAGTGCGCAGCGCATTTTCCTGGCTTGCTTACCTTAGCTCAGTGGTTGGGGGGGTCAAACAACCCTTTCACAGGGGTTTTGATGGTGGTGCAATACAGAAAAACGAGCGCAGCCCTCGCCATCCGGAATGAATGGTGCTGTTGTGGCGGTGGGGGAGGGGGCGGCAGAAGCGGGAAGAAGCGGCGTTTGCGATGGCTGGAAGCTGTGGGAGTGAAGCACAACTTTCATTTGTATGGCAGCAGCATTCCGCCTTGGTATATTTGTGTCAGGAGTGGCGCAAGGCAGCCTTTGTTTCCTGCTGCCTGGGATTCAGAGTGGTAAATGGCGTCTGATCCGGAGAGCTGCTGGATTTTGCTCTCTAATCCGGATGCCAAATCGGCCCCCTGCAAACTCTCGTCTCTCAAGGAGCGCTCCCTGAAGCGGGGCTGGAAACTTTGGTTGGACTGCTTGAGAGGAGAGCTTGCAGGGGGGCGATCTGATGTCTGCAATGGAGAGCGGCATCCGGCTTTTTCTCTCCGCTGTAAGAGCGCTGTAAGAGTGGCAGCCCTCATCTCCTAATGCTTGGGACTGCAAAATCCAGCTGCTCCCTGGACCAGTCACCATTTATCGCTCCGAGTCCCAAACATTAGGAGATGAGGGCTGCCGTTCTTACAGCGCTCTTACAGCGGAGAGAAAAAGCCGGATGCCGTTCTCCATTGCAGACACCAGATCGCCCCCCTGCAAGCTCTCCTCTCAAGCAGTCCAACCAAAGTTTCCAGCCCCGCTTCAGGGAGCGCTCCTTGAGAGACGAGAGAGTTTGCAGGGGGCCGATTTGGCATCCGGATTAGAGAGCAAAATCCAGCAGCTCTCCGGATCAGACGCTATTTACCGCTCTGAGTCCCAAGCAGCAGGAAACAAAGGCTGCCTTGCGCCGCAAATATAGCAAGGCAGAATCCTGATGCTGCACTTTCAGCAGACAGATGAGGGCTGCCTTGGCCATCGGCTGGCGCAAATATACCAAGGCGAATGCTCATGCCGCACAAGTTCAAGTAGTGCTTCGCTCCCACACTTCTTCCGGCCCTCAGTCTCTCAGGGAGATGCTTGACTTCCTCTCAGCCCCAAGACACTGGCTGGCCCATGAGATGAGAGAGAGAGAGAATGAGAGAGAAAGAGAGAATCAGAATAAGACAGAGAGAGAAAGAGACAAAGAATGAAAGAGAGAGAAAGACAGAATGAAAGAGAATGAGAGAAAGAGACAGAGAGAATCAGAGAGAGAGAGTGAGAGAGAGAGAATGAGAGACAGAGAAAGAGACAGAATCAAAGAGAACCAAAGAATCAGAGAGAGAATGAGAGAGAGGGAGAGAAAATGAAAGAGAATCAGAGTGAGAGAATCAGAATGAGAGGGAGAGAGTGGGGAGAGAGAGAAAGAGGGGGAGAGAGAAAGAGAATGAGAGAGAAAGAGAAAGAGCGGGAGGGAGAAAGAGAAAGGGGGACAGAGAGAAAGAGAGAATGAGAGAGAGTGGGGGGGAGAGAAAGAGAGTGGGAGAAAGAGAGAGAAAGGGGGGAGAAAGAGAATGAGAGAGAAAGAGTGGGAGAGAGAGAGAAAGAATGAGAAAGAGGGGAGAGAAAGGGAAAGAGTGGGGGAAAGAAAGAATGAGAAAGAGAGGGGGAGAGAGAAAGAGAATGAGAGAGGGGGAGAGAGAAAGAGAGAATGAGAAAGAGTGGGAGAGAAAGAAAGAGAGGGAGAGAGAGAGAAAGCGAAAATGAGAGAGAGAGAAAGAGAGAATGAGAGAGAAAGAGTGGGAGACAGAGAGAGAGAGAGACAGAGAGGATGGAGAGTGCCTGAAGGACCCCATCCCGTACTGGGAGTCCAGGTGCTTCAGCAAGCGGGGCACTGGATTCGTATTAGTGGTCTGCGAAATTTAAAATTATGAAGTTGGTGGTCCCTGAGGTCCAAAAGGTTGGGGACCCCTGGCCTAAGACCATCGGAAAACACATATTTTTGATGGTTTTAGGAATAACTTTATCGTTGGGGGTCACCACAACATGAGGAACTGTATTAAAGGGTCGCGGCATTAGGAAGGTTGAGAACCACTGCCTTAGCTGCTTGCCTTGCTTCGCTTGCCTGAATCCATTCCATCAGCAAGCAACTCCCTGCCTACAACCAAGCAGGCAGGGAGTTGTGGACTTCAACTCCCAGAATTCCTCAGCCAGCAAAACAAAGCTGGCTGAGGAATTGTGGGAGTTGAAGTCTACAAGTCTTAAAGTTGCCAAGGTGGGAGACCCCTGTTCTATTGGGTACGTAAGTTTTTTTCCCCTTTGGGATCTTTAAAAAAAAATAGTTAATTGGGTTTTTTTAAAGTTCTTTTTTAGACCTAGCCATTTAAAGTTTAGGAAGTTTTAAATTTAGCTTTCATATAAAAATAAAATAAAATAAAATAAAATAATATTTGTGCAGCTTTCTGAGATTTAGTGTGTTTCTGTAGTGTTTCACTCTAACTACACAAACACACAAAATCTCACACAGCTGTATGTGGAATTTTGTGTGTGTAAAGTGTGAAAGTTGGGTTTTGGGGCTTTTTGTGGCTGTGTGAAGTTCCTGCTTGTTGCAGGGGCCATTTTGGGTCTAGCACAGCTACTTTTACATTGTGGATGAGCCAGTTGTGTTGTGTTGTGTTGTGTTGTGTGTGTGTAAAGCGTGAAAGTTGTTTTTTGGGGCTTTTTGGGGCTGTGTGAGGTTCCTGCTTGTTTCAGGGGCCATTTTGGGTCTAGCACAGCTGCTTTTACATTGTGGGTGAGCCAGTTGATGTTTTTTTAATTTTTATTTGGTGTGCGTTGGAAGAGGGATAGTCTTATACGGCGAGTATAGCCCAAACCCTATATTTTAACAGGAAAAGTAGGGGGTCGTCTTATACGCCCAGTCGTCTTATACGCCGGAAAATACGGTACTGTGTATATATATATAAATTTATAACTAATTATATACTTGAAAGGCCCAGCAAATGTTCCATGTTTCATGATTTTCAAATTTTGCCAAGTCTCTCAGTATTCCTCCTTGTTTCTTCATTTCTTTAAATCTGAATATGTTACTCAAATATTTGCCACATGTTTTTGGATCATACGTTTGTTTACTATATAATTTAGAGTTATATTTGACCAAATTGCAGCACCACCTCTTTCATTGTAGAAACATGTTTGGTTCCATCCTAAATAGGGGTAATAGTTGCTTTATCCTGTTTCATATGCAATTGAGACCAACAATTTATCTGATTGTTTCAAATTATTTATGCTTAGTAAAATTCATCTCTTTGTAAGTCTTGTTTACATCAAGTAAATCTGGTTGGTTCTGTATTGCTTTTATCTTTTACAAATCGGATACAAGTATTCGTTGACCTATGACCACAATTGAACCCAGAATTTATGCTGCTAAGTGATAAATTTGTTAAATGAGTTTTGTTCCATTTTACAACTTTTCGTGCCACATTTGTTAAGTGAATCACTGCAGATGTTAAAATAGGAGCACCGTTGTTAAGTGAATCTGGCTTCCCCATTGACTTTGCTTGTCGTAAGGTCACAAAATGCAACCACATGACCCCTGGACACTGCAACTGTCATTAATATGAACAGTTGTCAAGCATCCGAACGTAAATCACATGACCATGGGGATGCTGCATCGGTCATAAGTCACTTTTTTCAGTGCCATTGTAACTTCGAACAGTTACTAAATGAACTGTTGTAAGTCAAGGACTATTTGCATTTGGTTGAGTTTGTGCCTTAAAGTTTCAGATCATTTAGTAATGTATCCTTCTGTGTTTTGCATGGCTTTCTCTCTGTTTGATACAAGAGAGATAAATCGCTCATGAAATGTCTTACTAAGGTGTCCCACAGGCTTCAGAGGCTAAGATGATTTGGAAAAAGATCTATAGTTCATGGTTGAATATATTTTTGCAATAGATCTTTGCCTTTTTGATCTGGAAGTTCCTCCAGATTTACTGTTATTGGATAATGACCTGCATAAAAAGGAATTGCCATCTCCCCTTCTCAAAGATTGGTTAAAAGAGCATTAGAAATGCAATACAAGTCTACCCTTGAATAAGTTTTATGAACTGAAAAGTAATAAATATTGGCTCTCTGAAAGCTATTTATATACCTAGGCATCCAAGAGAAATAACAGTGACATGTAGGCTGAGACATTTTGAGGGACTTTGTCAGTATTTCTTTTAAATAAAATTGTTTTATCATAAAGGGAGAAAGACTCCATTCACATCTCAAAGAATAAGAATCTGTCACTTTGCAATTTCAAGAAGTGATTGAAAAATATTTTTATAAAAGGTTGCTTTGTTATCATTCAGAGAAAAAAATTGAAGCAGCTGTTGTTTTTCCAAATTCTATCTGAAATACAATATTATGAATCTACTTTCTTTCCTCATCTTGAATTTGTTTTTCTAATGTCCATAATTTTTTCCCACATATATTGCTACTTCATTTTTTTGTCTGAAGCCTTGTATTCTGCACCAAGATGTCTATATTCTAAGAAAGTTATATTATCTTTTGAAATCTGTATCTCTTGAAGGCACATAGCTACTTATTCCTTAATTTAAAGAGATTGTTTTTCCTTTTCAATGAACTCAATCCCATTTATATATACTACCTTTTACAGCAATTTAATGAAAATATTTCCAAGGAAGCTAATTAAAATTAATGAAATATATGTAATGCATATAAAATTAATGATTTTAAAATGTCTACTAAATAACCCCTCAAAATAATATTTAAAAAAAGGAAAAAAAGGAGTTGCCAGGGCCAAGATAAAACTTTATTAGTAATAACAATACTTCAGTTGAGAAGTGAGCAGAGGAGTTCCTTAATAGCAGAAATTTCCAGTTCATTTTTTAACATAGCATATTATACAATATTATGTTTTCCTGATGATGCTTCTATACCTTGCAATACAGTATATGGCAAACTAGCTGAAAAGGCAAAAAGCATTTAGAGCCAAAAGTGGTATTTGATAATTTAGGTACAAAGCAAAACCCACAAATACCCACTATTGTAAACCTGCTGCTCAAGGGGTTGGTCATTACCTATAAAACTCTACATGGCATATGGCTTGTTTTTATTTTTTTAAAGGAACTGCCTGACATAGTATCTGCTTGGCCAATTTGACTTTGCGCACTCTGGGTTCCTTCAATTAAATGATGTCATCTATCAGGATTCTGGAAGTGTTCATTTTCTTGAGCAGTGCCTGCCCTCTGAAATGAGGTTGCCCCCCCCCTGCTGTTATTCAGAACAGCTGTGAAGACTTGACTCCTCACACAGGTCTTTGGTGAAGGAAATGAGGCTCCTTGGTGTTTTTGGCCTCCTAGGTAAAGACAAGAAATACGACAAAATGAAATAATTCCACTTTATTGTAAGGCCACATTAACAGAATCTTGCAAGTATGAAAGTACAAACTTTCTGCTACCTTTTTTAACCACTTGATTCATTAAAGTGGGTCCTTCCTCTTTCTCTGCCTGTTAAATCATTGAGGGCTCCTGCCTCTCTTATTGGATTGTTTCCTAGGCAACATTTCCCCTCATTCCCCAAGGCCATTCACACATTCCACTACACACTTCATTCTATCTGGTTTGTTACACTTGCCATTCTTTTTTATCTTTTATTGATTTATTGTAATTTCTTAGTTCGTTGTGAGCCACCCAGAATTGTTGGGAATTGGGCAGCATACAATTTAAGCATGATAATAATAGCTGTTATTGTTGTTGTTTGGAATAAACTGGTCCAATCTTGAATACATATTTGATACTGCGATGGGCAACAATACACAAATTGTATTTATTTAGTATAGAAAATAATAAAAAGTTATCATTTTCTCCTAATTGATCTGAAATAAAAATGTCACCCTCCATTCAAATTCCTCAAATAATAGAGAGTTTCTTCAAATGGAATTTTAAGATCTGGATTACCAATTTAATGAGAAAAGAAGGATGAAAGTGCAATTTTCCAAAAATATTTTCCAGATGTATATATTGGAATTTCAGGCAAAATCTAAAAAATGTATTAATTTATACTGTGTTTATTCTATCCTGGAGAATAAGGCTTAAAGACTCATATGAATCAATATACAAAGAAACCTCTTTGCACATTCATATTTAATGTATTAATAAACAATGCCTATTAATGTTAATTCTAAATTAGACCAGTGTGAAGAGTCCTTGGTGCTCTCTGAGCTTGATTGCTTTCCTGCAGGCATTTCATTACCCAAACTTAGGTACCATCATTGGAATTCCGAGAGCACCAAGGACCCCTCATTTCAACCCTGAGCTACAAATTAGACTAGTGTACCTACATTGTTTTGTGCTAAGTGGTATCCCATGAATTGTTTTAGGGTATACTATAGAGGAAAGTGTATTTTATGAGTACCATGTAGTGCTCTGAGAAAGGTACTTCAAAGTGCGTGGAAATGAACCAAGTATCTGTCTACAAATTTCTTAAACTAAACTTTGGAGGATTGTGTGGTACATGGCAACCATCTTTTCCAAAAGACACAGTTTCTATAAGGATTTGCAGATATATTCCCCTTTAGCATCTTTATACATTTCAAACGATCATTTTGCTTATGAATCCAAAGCTCTAAAGATATCTGTTACATGCCGGAGCTCTTTAAAAAGAACTTACGTCTTTTACTGAAACTGTATAGATATTTTCACATGGCCTAGAATGTGCTGCTCCTTAGAAGGAACTTTAGCTAGTTTTTGTGCTAAGATTCTTCTAAGATATATATCTTATCTCCTTTTTATGTTCCTTTTTCCTTTATATGTTTCCAACATCTCTTTTTCTAGTATTACTTTTTTGCCCCTAAATAAAGCATAATAAACTGGCATATAGCATATAGATATAAATTTTCTGCAGTTTAGCATATTTTATGCTTCTTACTAAAAGGTTTCTTAGAAGTTTTAAATAGGCATAACAAACACATCTCTCAGAACTGATGTATAAAACTTCAGGCCAAATAAGTCATTTAGATTGTTGGGAGATCCTCATATTTGGTTAGTCCTAACATAGTTTTTGCCCAATTATGGCTTTTAGGTTTTTCCTTATTATCTGGCTATATGTATTTCATAATTAACTATAACATTCAGACTGTTTGTAGTAGCAAATACATTTTCGGGAAAAATTGATGTGCCTTCTTCTCAAGAAGCTATCACTCAAGCAGCTCTTTGAAGAATTTCCACTTAGAGTCCAACCTTTCTCTTTGGGGGAATGTTGTTAAGAAGGTAATGAGCCTGGATAACTGGACCCTTTTCGGTGTGGTTTCATATATGGAACCAAGACAACATTGATTGAATTTGGAAATGAATGATGGCAGGACTGAGATAGGAGAATAACCTTCCTAGCCATTCTTCACTCTCAGCTGCCTCTGATACGACTGATCATGGCATTTTTCTGAACTACTTTTTGGACTGGAAACAATAGGATTTGATCAGCAATTGTTCCGCTTCCCCCATATGTAGTTCTAGTCAATAGGAAGGGGAGGGAGTTGGCCTCTAGGCTTCCATGATGGTGCTATAGGGCTTAATCTTACTGTACTTGTATATAATATCTACATGAAACCTCCAGTATGAGGTCATCCTCCAGTATGAGGTCACAGAGCATTATTACACCAACAAATATAACTCAACCCTGGACCAATCAGAAATATACTTAAGGTATTGTCCTAGTGCTTACAGTCTGTATGGGATCTGGATGAGGAAGGACAGACTAAGGCTAAATCCCAGAAAAAGATGATTCAACTGAAGCTAGTGATCTTTTGTTCTGGGTGGGATCACATAAACGCTGCCTTAATTATTTATAATCAGGGGCTTTAAATAAGCCTACATAACTCGGGACCAGATTATCTTTGTGATGGCTAGATAGTTCGTTCATATCTGATTAGATGTGGAAAAAGGAGCTCCTTTACTTACTTACTTCGATGGAGTGTCATCAGTAGAGGGTGGAACTTCTCTGTAAATCACCCTCTTATTTTGGGAATATTATCTGAGGTAAGATTGGCACGTTTTAGAATTCAAGACTTGGGTATTCCTGAAGGCCTTTGGGTTTTGATATGGTTGAATTCTTTCCTGCAGTAAGACTGTTGGTTTGCTTTGGCTTGGCTTTGTTGTTCTTTGATATATAACAGAACATTACAGGTAAGTCCTTGATTCATGACCATTTGTCCAGCAACTATTTGAAGTTATAATAACGCTGAACAAGTGGTACTTAACGATTAGTCCGCAAAGTTCAGCCATCCTAAAGACTCCACGGTCATGTGTTCACAATTTAGGAGCTGTGCAACCAATGTCCCAGCAGCTTCCTATAGCCAGTAGCACATCCTGCTGCATTTTACAGCAGCCACCTGTGTGACATTCACATAACCAGCCACAATTGTTGCTGAACAAGACAATGGACAGGATTGCTGTTGCTAAGTGATGCAGTCATGTGATGTAGTGCTTTATCACCACATTGTTTAGAAAGGGAAATTCCAGTCCCTGTTAGTATCGTTAAGTGAGAACTATCTGTACCATTATTTGTTATTGTTTAACTTTTTACTGTAATTTGGAGCAATGCTGCTTAGAATTGGTCATGGTTGAAACAGTTTATCTTCCTAAAGATATCTATAAATAAAATTGATTTAGCTTTCTCTTAATTATTAAGCTGTTCTGATAAACATTTTTAATTCAGTAACTTAATTTGAATGGACTACGGCAGGAACCCCCAACCCCAGGCCGTGCACTGGCACTGATCCATGGCCCCCAAGAACTGGGCCACCAGTGAGCAAAGCCCCATCCATGCACATGTTGAATCCCAGCAGTGTGTGAAAAAAGCACACCGTCAGTTCTTCTGCAGAATCAGACCCTAGCAACCAAAAGATTGGGAGCAGCTGAGTACAGGGTTTCTAAGTACAAGATCATACGTGACTGATATGGCCCTCGTCACCTCTCACCTGGACTATGGCAATGCTCTCTACATGGGGCTCCCGTTGAAGAGCACCCGGAGACTCCAGCTGGTCCAGAATGCGGCTGCGCGGGTAGTTACGGGAGCTGCATGGCGCTCCCACATAACACCTCTCCTGCATGAGCTGCACTGGCTCCCAGTGGTTTTCCGGGTGCGCTTCAAGGTGTTGGTTATCACCTTTAAAGCGCTCCATGGCATAGGACCTGGATATCTTCGAGACCGCCTGCTGCTACCAATGGCCTCCCACCGACCTGTGCGCTCCCATAGAGAGGGCCTCCTCAGGGTGCCATTGGCCAAACAATGTAGACTGGTGGCCACCAGGGGGAGGGCCTTCTCTGTGGGGGCACCTGCCCTCTGGAATCAACTGCCCCCAGAGATACAAAGAATTCAAGACCTCGGTGCCTTCCGCCATACACTGAAGACCTTTCTTTTTCAGCAAGACAGGCTGGTTTAACACTTTTTAAATGTTTTTAATAGCTTTGTTATTGTTCTTTTAATTTTGGGGCCAAACATCTATATATCTTTTTAAATTGGTTTTAATGTTTGTATTTATGTTTTTACTTTGGCTGTATACCGCCCTGAGTCCTTCGGGAGAAGGGCGGTATATAAATTTGAAAACTAAAATAATAATAATAATAAGGCCAGTCTTTATTTAAAACATGGTCATTCGAAATTGTGCTTAAATTTACTTGAGAAATGTAAAAAAATTGAATGTGGAAGCAATGGTTGAAAAACCAGGAGGAGGCCATTTTATGCTTTTAATCATTTGTAGTCTTTTTTTTTTTTTTTTTAAATGGGGGACTCAAAGTATTCTGAAATGACTTGCAGCTGCAGCTGGAGAATGTGTTCGAGAATAAAAACCTCCTTTAGTAAATGGGTGAGAAAGAATTATAATTGTTTTGAACTGTTTGTGATCAGTCTGCATATATTTCATTGTAATACGATACTAAAGCACCCCAATTATGATCTGTATATTTTCATGCCACAATTTTTTTTTCTTCCTACATTAAATTATTCAGTTCTGTCAACTGTTAGGCTGCTATATATAGATACAGTAAATCATGTTATATTTTGTCATGGATTATATAAAAAAATATATTGAACATTCAGATCAAAGTAGTTTCACAATCACATTTGAGCACAGCAAGAATGTTTAATTTGTAGAAAATCTTCTTAGGGGCAAACTGTTGCCATTTTGTGAATTTGGAGTGCTTAGTTTTCCAGATAGTACTGGCAAAATGTGAACCCATTTGGTGATCTACATACATATAAATAAAGCAGAGAAATCTACAAAAGTGTCCTGAGACTTTCAGAGAAGGTAACCATGATTGTAACATACATTTGTACATTAGTTGTTGTTCAGTTTCCAAGTCATGCCTGACTCTTCGTGACACATGGACTGTAGCACACCAGGCCCCTTGCCCTCCCCTGTCTCCCGGAGCATGTCCATACCCTTGTACATTGTGTTGATGACACTATCTAACTATCTCATCCTCTGCTGTCCCTTTCTTCCTTTGTCTTCAACCCTTCCCAACATCAGGGTCTTTTCTAATGAACCTATGCCAATTTTTTGCTTTGCTGGGATTTTGCTGAACTTGTTGCTCAGCAAAATCCCAGTAATACTGGTTGTCATTGTTCTGTAGTGCTTTTTGATACTGAGTGATGTTTTAAGCTTTTGTTTTATTAAAGCTATTTAATCAACCATCAAATTAGTAATGAATAATTATTTCATAAGAGAGCATTTATTAAAATACTACATAAGACTCTTTTGTTAACTTTGATTGTTTCATATGCTTATACAAAATACAGCACTATTTTGCATTATTCATACATAACCTTAACCATTGATAACTTTACAATTTGCTTTTCAGCTGATCCACAGTTTCACTATAAAACTGATTTTATCTTATAGTATTTTTATCCTATAGTAACATTTTGTCACTTTACATTTATTAGCTGGTTTGTGCTTGAACTTATGTCATAATTTAATAGTTTATGACATAAGTTCTGCTGTATTGCATGTATGTAATTTGGGTTATGATACATTTCATACATCACAACTGCTCTCTGTCTCATTGCTGCCAGAATACTTGAAACTAATGCCAGAATTTAGTAAAATTGTAGCTATTTGAAAATGATGTTTATATAAACTATTAGAGTAGAGTAGAGTAGAGTAGAATAGAACAGAACAGAACAGAACAGAACAGAACAGACCTTGGAGGTCTTCTAGTTCAGTCCCCTGCTCAAGCAGGAGAACCTATACCATTTCAGAAAAGTGACTGTCCAGTCTCTTCTTAAAAACCTCCAGTGATGGAGCGCCCACAATTTCTAAAGGCAAGCTGTCCCACTGCTTAACTGTCCTCACTGTTACAAAGTTTCTCCTTAATTCCAGGTTGCTTCTCTCCTTGATTAGTTTCCAATCATTGTTTCTTGTCTTGCCCTCTGGTGCTTTGATCATCTTAGTTGCTGTTCTCTGAACCTTTTCCAAAGTCTCAGCATCTTTTTTGTAGTATGGTGACCAAAATTGGTTGCAGTATTCCAGGTGCGGTCTTCCTAGGGTTTTATAAAGTGGCACTAATACTTCACGTGATCTTTATTCTATGCCTCTCTTTATACAACTCAGGACTGTATTAGCTTTTTTGGCTGCTGCTGCACACTGCTGGCTCATATTCAAGTGATCATCCACTAGGACTCCAAAGTCTCTCTCACAGTTACTGTTTTTGAGCCAGGTCTCACCTAATCTGTACTTATACCTTTGATTTTTCCTGCCTAAATGTAAAACTTTGCTTTTCTCCACATTAAAATTCATTTTGTTGGATAGGGCCCATTGTTCAAGTTTGTCAAGACCTTTTTGGATCCTTTTTGTCTTCTGGAGTGTTGGCTATTCCTGCTAATTTAGTGTCATCTGCAAATTTGATGAGTTCCCCTTCTATTCCCACATCTAAGTCATTTATGAAGATATTGAAGAGTACTGGGCTAAGATGGAGCCTTGCAATACCCCACTGCTTACTTCCCTCCATGTGGGTGTAGTGCCATTAAGGACTACTCATTGAGTACGGTTTGTCATCTTGCTACAAATCCAACTTCCTGACTCACACCTCTAATACACTCTCACACACTGCCTCAACCCATTCCACACCATTTGCATCCTTGTATATCGCCTTGCATCTTCATGCACTGTCCCTGACATGTGCTGCACCTCTCACATACTCTCATGCACCCTCCTTGGTCACGCTGTGCCTTTCACAAACTCTTTGACATACCTGCACACCCTTGACCCTCCCTCACACCATCGTGTTCTCTTTCTGACCCTTTCTTACCTTAAGAACTGTTGGATTCAATTAACAATAGTAACTGTGACTACAAGGATTGCCATTGCCAAATGATGTGGTAGCTCTTCACAAATGCATTGCTTAGCAACAGGTCCCAATCCTGCTGTCGAGGATTATCTGTATTATAAATATTGAGAGCAAATAATGCCTGAATTTTTATTTTACTATTTTTGTTATTTTTGTGAATACAGGTGAAACTCGAAAAATTAGAATATCGTGCAAAAGTTCATTTATTTCAGTAATGCAACTTAAAAGGTGAAACTAATATATGAGATAGACTCATTACATGCAAAGCGAAATAGTTCAAGCCTTGATTTGTCATACTTTTGATGATTATGGCTTACAGCTCATGAAAACCCCAAATTCACAATCTCAGAAAATTAGAATATTGTGAAAAAGTTCCATATTCTAGGCTCAAAGTGTCCCACTCTAATCAACTAATTAAGCCATAACACCTGCAAAGGGTTCCTGAGCCTTTAAATGGTCTCTCAGTCTGGTTCAGTAGGAATCACAATCATGGGAAAGACTGCTGACCTGACAGTTGTGCAGAAAACCATCATTGACACCCTCCATAAGGAGGGAAAGCCTCAAAAGGTAATTGCAAAAGAAGTTGGATGTTCCCAAAGTGCTGTATCAAAGCATATTAATAGAAAGTTATGTGGAAGGGAAAAGTGTGGAAGAAAAAGGTGCACAAGCAGCAGGGATGACTGCAGCCTGGAGAGGATTGTCAGGAAAAGGCCATTCAAAAGTGTTGGGGACTTTCACAAGGAGAGGACTGAGGCTGGAGTCAGTGCATCAAGAGCCACCACACACAGACGGATCCTGGACATGGGCTTCAAATGTTGTATTCCTCTTGTCAAGCCGCTCCTGAACAACAATGTCAGAAGCGTCTTACCTGGGCTAAAGAAAAAAAGAACTGGTCTGTTGCTCAGTGGTCCAAAGTCCTTTTTTTCTGATGAGAGCAACTTTTGCATCCCATTTGGAAACCAAGGACCCAGAGTCTGGAGGAAGAATGGAGAGGCACACACTGCAAGATGCTTGAA